AAAAGGGAAAAAAATATAATTTTCTTAAAAGAAAAAAGAGGTTGGAAGACAAAGTTGATCGTGATCCCACCGCGTACAGGGCAATCGTGAAAAGCCGATAAGCATGAGAATTCATCCTTCGAAACGACACCGTTCGATCCACGAACAACATTCAACAGCTCCACGTGTACATCTTCCCCATCCACGTCGCTCTCCACGTGTACGCCCGCCATCGCAAATCTTCTCTGCTATATCAACCCTTCTCCATCTTCTTCGTCTTCAAGCTCCGATCCCTCAATCAAACCCAAAAATGGCGTCAAATCCAAAACCAACCTTCGCATACACAGTTATGTACGTCAAGGACGTCGCCAAATCAGTAGATTTCTACTCCAAAGCCTTCGGTTTCAACGTCCGCAGCATCGACAAATCCAACAGGTAATCAAAATCAAAATCAAAATCAAAATCCAAACACAAAAACAAAATCAATTCTGATTCGTAGTTTTGACAATTGATAGGTGGGGAGAGCTCGATAGCGGGGAAACCACCATCGCATTCACGCCGCTGCACCAGCACGAAACAGACGATCTCACCGGCGCCGTTCACACCCCATCTTCCGCCCGCGACCGGAACCCTATGGATATTTGCATCGATTATCCCGACGTCGATGCAGCCTATCAGGTAAAATCAGTAAAACATTCCATTCCTCTGCATCGATTCGAGGCTGAAAATTAACGAACATAGGATTTGTTTTTGTGTTAATTTGTTGGGATTATCAGAGGGCGGTGGAGAATGGCGCGGCGCCGGTGAGCCAGCCGGAGGCGAAAGAGTGGAACCAGAAAGTAGGATATGTTCGTGATATCGATGGGATTGTAGTGCGGATATGTAGCCATGTGAATCCACCGAAATAGAGCTGAATTTTGCAGAGCCGCCTTCTTCAATCGTCTGTACTTCAATAACAAATAATAATATACAGATGTTATCTAAAGTTCAGTTTACGAAAGCAATCCGAATTCCGGAGGTGAGTTAGAATAAGAACATGGTTTCTGCGCGATTAGGGCTATGGGAAAGAATCAGAGCCAAATCGCCAATAATCTGAGCGGAAACTCGGAAAATCTAACGCGTAAAAAATAATCGTGAATCGATTCAGAATTGAACCGGAAATTCAAACACAGGCGAAATAGCGCGGGATGGATTGCGCGCGTATCAATTACACTGCCGCCATGAGCTGTATGCATTTGAGGGAACGGAGCTTTGTGTTCTTGAGAGATTGGTTTCCATTGGAAAGCATGTCGTTTTTATTTTTTTATTTAAAAGATTTTAACTGAATTATTAAAAAATATTTTAAAGATGATTTATTATGAAATATAAAATTATTTTTTAGAACTCTTTTGTTACCTTAAAGTTAATTATATCAGATCATTTAAAGTAGCCTTCTAAGATAATGAATGCAGGCATTGTACTTCAAAATTTATAAATTGAAATAAAATTATAAACTCGTGTCAAATTTATAGTTTAAAACCAATTTTAAAAAGTTAAATTTAATATATTTGAAAAAATAAATTTCGTGAGAATTACAAAAGTAAAAATTATGACCTCTTAATTAATTACAGACACTAAAGTTCACTTTTTTTCTTTTCCACAATATTACGTTTCATTTTTTTTATTAAGTAACATATACGCCCTTTGGCTTGTCATCATCATTTTTAATTATAGAATATTAAAAAAAAAGTTTAGAATCTCCATTTTCAAAGTTTAGAATCTCGATTTTCTTAAAAGTATAAATCTCTCTTTTGAAGTTTATTAAAAAAACAGACTCTTTCTAAAAAAAAAAAAAAGACATTTTTGTTTTTAAGATTTCATTCCAATTTTTTAGAGTAGTTTCAGCCATCTTGAACATTGTATGACAGGTGTTAATAATTAGTATTAAAAAAAATAGAAGTTAAAAGATATCGAAGATCATATCTTCAATCACCTATTGATTTGTCAAAAAATAAAAAATAAATAAAAGGAATTGTCTTTCTACTTTTTTTTTTTTAATAAAAACTTAAAAATTGACTTGTATTTTGGTTCAAAAGACTTTTTTGGGTTTTAGTTGAAGAACAGAATATAAGCATATATACTAATAGAATTTAAAAGTTCAAAGGGAGGTATGATCATCATTCATCAACAGCCATTGGGCCAAATCAATGGTTTTAGAATCTAATCGTATTAATAAGACTAAATCTTGTAGTTAAGCTTGGTGTTATATATCCAATGCAAGTTGAAGAGCACAAAAATTTAATCAGCAAGAACTGTTTGCCCACAATTCAGAAACCATAATTAGGCAGCAGATGGTATTAACATCAAAGAGAAAATGGATTAAAACATATTTTCCCTTTCAATTTCATAAAAATCATCTGTTTTTTCTGGCTACAGCATTGAGAAATGACAATGAACAGTTCCAATCCCTGCCTGCCTTCTTCAAGATAACACGAGCTCGTTCGCTCCAAGATGAGGGCGAAGGCAAACACGAACTTCGTGTTCTTCTGGACCGACGCGATGTTTAGGCACCATTATCTCTAGACCAGTACCCGTCTCATCTCCATATGCTTCTAGCTTTGCATCGTCTGGGATCCTGGTTGGTAAAGGAATTTCCCTTATAAACTCTCCAGGCGGGCAGTGCTCCGGCGATGCATCGGTGAGCTTGAATGTTCTGTCATTTCTTTTCACAAAGGGCATACAGCCTGTGCTCACCGATGTTATCTTTACAACCCCATGAGTGAGGTTGTTCCACCAAGTCACTTTAACCCGTTTTAGATCGGCTAAAGGCAAGCTGATGATTATCAAGTATCCTTGCTCGTCCTCATAGATCGTTTTTGCAGCAGTGACAGGACCATAAACGTTCCTCATTACCCCACTGAAATCATTTAACCATGGAGGTTCAATTGGATGGATTTCTGTATCTTGAACTCTGTCATTGTGTTGGTTAATGAGCAAACAACAGTCTTCATCGTTCCCATGTAGAAATAGATCCTTCTTCCGCTTGTTGCCTTTCGGCGACAGATCCATTCCTCCACCATTTACATGATTCGTTGGTCGAGTCGACAGGTTCAGACTAGTCCCATTTAACAATTTCCTCGGAGGAGGATGGGAGTTAGTTTTCAAGGAAGGGAGGGGTCTTTCCAGCTCAAATTCTGTGCTGGGAAGATTCCTCCATGAACAAAACTCGCTTGCTTCTGGTGGGACAGAGAAGTTTAGATCCCTCCCTGTAAGTTCTACCCATCTTTTCTGCTCCTCCTCGTCGAGACCTTTGAGATTGGGCAACGAAACAAACTCAATGCCATGCACACATTGGGGATTCGATAGGCCCCTGTAATGCTTTCGTTGCATCCTGTGAGACCGAACAAATCCCCTGTCAACGCTATATGGGAAAGGGCGTTCACCTTGCCGAGAGTGACCGTTCATATAGCTCCTGAGCTGCATTTTACCCAGTGCATTCTCTGGCCTTTCCTTAAAAACCCACATATACATGTTCTCCATATCATGTTGAACTAAAAACACCTCAAGCTCTAGATCCGACTTGTCAAACCCAGAAACCCCGTTACTGTCACGCACGATTTTGCACTTCGATTTCTCGTTCATCACAGGCTTAAAATAATAACTGAAGAAAAACCAAGCACCCCATACACTGTCTAGTCTCTTGGAAAACTTGCGCCCGGTTTTGGGCAGATTGAGAAGAGCATCAGACTCATTAATTTGCGTTCCCAGGCTAACATCTAACATGTCAAAAGGGTCTGAATTCCAGGGTTGTGGAGGAGGACTGCGCTCGGCCGAAAGCGGAAGATTGATGTCAGGCGGTCGGGTAAGAACAATAGGCCGATTCAATTCTCGCTCGAGTTCTTCATGAGACAGAGAACTCGAATCCATCGACAATAGGGTAGATGGGTGGTGATTTTCCATAGATAAACTAGTTAGCAAATCTTCTCCCATGATCTCTCAGAGCTTAATACACAAAGAATGCTTATTTACCAACAGTTCCAATAAGAAGAAACTATCTTCAGCCTCCTCTAGATTGAAAACTATCACCTCATATCAACAACACATCCATACAAACCCAGTTTCACAGATAAAATCAACACTTCCACCACCAAAATTTCACCTCAAAATTCTAAATCATGGTCCACTTCAACAATCCAATTCCAAAATTTTACTTCCGCCCCTCCAAACAAAACCCAATAAGACGATGTGGGGGGAAAAAATCCCAAAACAGAACCCAACTAAAGAACACGCAAAATAACAGAATAACGCAACCCCAGATGAATATAAACAACAAATTTGCAGGCAGCAGAATCCCAACAAAAAAGAAAAATAGAATACAGCGTATCCACGATTTGTGTAAACCAATAATTCCGAGAAATATAGAGTAAGGAAACGGGAAAAACTTACAAGAAAGTATGGAATTAGAGAAAGTAGAGAAATCAAAAGATTCGAATTAGGAGATGGATATCCAAATTCACAGAATTACAGACCCCCTTTACACCGCAAAAACAGCCCTGATCTCCTCCAAATCCAAAGCCCTCCGGAGCCGAGAGAGAGAGAAGAAGTGACAGAGTTTGAGGAGAACAACGATAACGGCATCCGTTAATCACACCGCTTATCTTCGACGGAGTTATAGTGGAGTAGGTTAAACGGGCCGACGGCGCTTAAACACTAACGGTGACGGAACGATGGGGCCGTCTCCTCCATTTCCAATATGGGCCAGTGGCCCATCCAAAATATTCGGCCCAATATCACCTGATCCATATTCTTCGGCCCAGCACTCGCATAGCCAACGGCCCACCTTGTATAAATGAATAAATTACAGAGCTTGATTTTTCTAATGCATCCCAAAATGGAAAAGGAAAAATAATAATAACAATAATTACACATACGAACAAAATCGTGTAAGGCATTTTAGAAAAGATAAATTTTTATTGGTTTTAATAATTACGAAATTCTATTATTGAACAGAAACAAACCTACTATTGGGAATAATAAACACCAAACAATTAATGCATTTGCATCAATTCGATTCTCAACTTTTTAAAGAACAAATCAACTAACCAATAATTATAATATTTTATTAACAAAACAAGAGATTTTATTTTACATTTGAATTAATTGGCAATATTCCAACTATGTACAAAAATAAATAAAAAAGTACCACGCGAGTAATTATCTTCCTCTATTAGCCGAGGTTTATAAAAAGAAAATACCGTCCTTCCAACTTTATTATTATCAAAATAGTAACAAATATTTATGGATATAATTATATCTCAGTGGTTTTCTCACAAAATTATTTTTGGAAAAAAAAAAAAAACTTTCATGCCTTTTCCATTCCGAATTGATGGTCTAAAATATATTAAATAGTTTACTAGATCTACTACAATCTCAACCATTATTATTTGATTTAAATTTAATTTTTTTCTCAATTTCTTAACTTTAAAAATGTATATTTTAATCATGAAATTATAATAAATAAGTGTTGGTCTATATTTAACTTGTGAATTTTCATAGAATAATTACTTTAATTCTTATTATTATTGTCCTTTAATATTTGTTTTGGTCAATTTATACTAACTTCAATATATAGATATATATATAGTATATACATATATCCCTTAGTCTTTTTTTTTTATTTGAAATCATTATATCTTAATCAGAAAAGCGTTAATTACCATTTCATAGGGTATTTATGTCTAGGTGCATGTAGTCGCATCTTCACAAACATGTCTATTTCACCGAGCCTATCTCTGAGATAGTACCCAAATCGTTACGCCTTTCGTGCGGGTTGGAACTTACCCGACAAGGAATTTCACTAACTTAAAACCGTTATAGTTATGGTCGTTGTTCACCGAAGCTTCGGTTGTCGGTCCCCTGTGAGATAAACTCATGTTGAAGGAATCCAAACGATCTATAAAATTTTTGGATGAAATATGTTGTACATGAGGGGAATAATGAATCCATAGAAGATGATGCTCCACTTTAGAAATTGAATTCAAAGCCCAAAAAGAAAGAGAGAGAGAAAAAAAAAAGTGAATTTCAAAATTTCACTCCAATTTCCACACGCTTTGGCCTAACCCACCCATGTGAGGGGTGGCATCCAAGCATCCCCCACGCAGTTTGTCCAAAATTCCACAAAAAGACGAAACCAAAATCAAATATAAAACGCTTAATCTTTACCTTCCACCTCTTACTCTTAATCCCGCTGGTGGTTCTTCTGTTCTGTTCTGTTCTGTTCATCTTTTGGATTTGGATGGCTTCTCAAATTAATATAAATTCAATTTTTGTTCCCATCTGTTGATTGTGGCTGCACGAACCTCCCCTTTTGGCTTCTTTAAAGGTAAAGTTCTCCTCTCCTTTTCCCTAACGCGTTATTCCCTTCTGGAGGAGCTCGCTGGAATTCCTATAGCGTATGTTTCAGGCAAATTTTGTACTCTTAATGGATTCCATTACAGAATCTGAATTCTCTAGTGTAGTTTTTGTTTCTTTCCTGGGTTTTTGAGGCTGTTGTTTATTTGTTTTCTTCTGGTTTCTTGTGCTTTTAGAAGCCAGGGTTTTAGTTACACTGATGATTTTGGGGATTTTTGTTTATGGGGTTTTAGATTCTGTGGTTCTGTTTTCTATTTGGGTGCTCATAGGTAGAGAAAAAAAACTCTGAGGAGTTTTGAGGTGAATTTGAGCTCTGAGATTGGGGTTTTGGAAATTAATGGTGGGGATGTGAGATTTCCCAGTTGGGTGAATAATGGTTGCTTCTTTCAGTGGATTGGGAATTGGGTTGAGCTTGGTTTTTGGGTGCCTTCTGTTTGCTCTTGTTGCAGAGCTTTACTATTTGCTATGGTGGAAGAAGAGCAGCTTCAGTTCAGAGGTTGAAGATGATGAATTCACCAATTATGCCAAAGAATTCTTCCATCTCATCTGTTGGGAAAGGGCTCCTGCTTCTTCCTCCTCTCTGCAACCCAACAATTCCAGACCAAATGAAACAAACCCACAACTCAGAAATCAAGAACCAGACATGGAAATTGGTTCTAGCAAGGATTTGTTACTGAAATCATCTGGAGGAGAAGATGGAGTGGAGGTAGAGCTGATGAGGCTGCACAATCTTGCAGGCCCACCAAGGTTTCTCTTCACCATTAAAGAGGAAACCAAAGAAGATTTAGAGTCAGAAGACAGAAGCAGAAAGGGATCAAGAACAAGAAGTTTGAGTGATCTTATATTAACTGCTGACACCCCATTTCTCACTCCTTTGCCTTCTCCTCCATTAAAGGCACCATCTCCTTTAAACCCCTTTGGCTCTTACAAACACCATGGATTCAATATAAACCCCCTCTTTGAATCATCAACAGAGTTGGAATTGAACAGGCTCTTATCTTCACCTCCCCCAAAATTTAGATTCCTAAGGGAGGCAGAAGAGAAACTGTACAGAAGATTGATGGAAGAAACTCAGAAGAAGGCCTCTAGATCAAATAATGATGGGTCAGCTCAGAATTCTGAAACTAAAGCCATTTCCAAACCCAAAACAGCAGCTGAAGAAGAAGAAGAAGGATTTTGTTTTACAGAAGAGAAAGAGCCTCAAAATCATCACATGTCACAGTTTTCTTCAAGTTCTTCACAGGTTCTTCCTCTTGCTTCTTCTCCTCCTTCAGGGCAGAGATTTAATAATGTTTCAATAGGTCGGTCTTTGTGATTGATTCATTTCATCTCTCAGCTTTCTGAGTTGATTTTGCATTGTGTATGAAAATGCAAACAACTTTCTCACTTTGGTTTGATTCAATGAAATTAATTAATTAACCTTTTTACTCTTGGATTGAAATGTTGAAATTTGAGAATCTGTTTCTCAAAACTGGACACAATCCAATTATTACCTTGTCTTCATGAACAGCCAATATAATATATTCACCAAGAGATGTGATGATCTGTTATATGCCATTGGAATTGTCAGGCTTTGAATGAAATTTTGGTAAATTAGCCATTATATATTTTTTCTTTTGTACAAATTGTAATGTTGTGATTGAAAGTTTTGAAATTTAAAAATTCATTTTTTTTAAATCCCCCTTTTGTCCCTTTCTAATCTCTCTCTCTACACTATTTTTTCTCTCTTTATCCCCTAGTTTGAAGTGAGAGAAAACTTGCAATTTGGTAAATTACACCCAAATTTTCATGAAAAATGATCACTATCATACACAATCAATTCTTTCTCTTTCATTTCTCTCATTACTGTTGGACACATACGAAATCAGAATCTTCCTTTCGTTGTCAAACTCAATCAAACAAGAAGGAAAAAAAAATTCCTTTCTTTAATTCTCAAACTTTCATTTTCATTGATTAAATACTAAACCGGAATAAATTGTGAAATTAATATTAATCTCTAAACTAATAAATTAATAATACCATCTATACTCTTTTTTTTAGTACAACAAGTTGGGCGATGATTCAAAATCGACGTCCCGACTAATTGAGTTAGAATATAATCTATACTTGGTTAGCTCAATTTTAAATTAAGTTTATAAGTGCTTTAATTACTAGTTATATTTGGTTAGCTCTAAATCACTCCTTTTAATTTAATAGAATATTCGGTTTGAGAAAATTATAATTGTATGGCTAAAATTGACTCATCCAATTTACCAATACAAACTTTTTATTTATTTATTTTATTTTAAGAAAGAGATATTTTTATTTAAAAAATGATAGACGCGGTAAAAAGTAACTTGAAGCCACAAGCAATTAATGGCAATCGTTTGGCGAATATGAAATTGAAATTGAACAAAAGAACAACAAATTCAATTACAAACAGTTAAAAAATAAATAAAAAGTAGAGAGAGACCGTATAGACTGAAAAAAAAGGGACAAAAAATGTCTTTGTTTGCCACATAGAGGGTCTTTTCCACAATTAATGTTGGAAATTTGAATTTTTTTGAAAGTCCCTTTTGAATATAAAATATAAATAAATAAAAAAGGAATTTAATGTGGAAATATTGAAGTGAAAGGCATTATTTAGGCGGGTCCATAGTTTTATTTTACTTACTATAGTTTTATTTTACACGGAGGTTCGGTTTGTTTCGTGGAAATTCCATTAGATAAGTATTTAGATTTTTGTGTTTGTTTGACGTGTTGGATATTCTCAAATATTTTTAGATGTTGGACATCTTAGAATGTCCATATGGAAGACATCTAAGTAGATGTCCTCGATTTTTTAAGATTCCTATGTTGAGGATTATTATTTTGATAATTTTGTCATTCGTTATTTTATTAATCAATTTTCTTTATTTCTCGTTTATTTTATATTAAAAGTAAATATATATATGCACTAATTAACTGATACATGATTTATACAGTTATACTTATATGCTAGATTTAGATATAAAATAAACTTCTGTCAACGGTATAATTTCTTAATATTTTTTAAATTAAATTGACATTAAAATATATTATACAATTTAAGCAAAATTTTTATATAAATTTAAATTATATTAAATTATACTTAAAAATATATATGTTAATATATAAATTATATGATGATCGGTAAGGATATTGTTTGAATAATATGTACTTTTCAAACAATCTCATGTACAAATCCTCCAAAATAAACATAGCTATTCAAGTATTCCTAGACATTTTTTTTAATATTTCTATAAAACAAATTGACTATCTAAAGATGCAGAACATCTATAATTCCAGATATCTAATCTTCTATGCAGGGAATATGTTAGCTTTCTAAATTCCAAGAAAAAAAAATGACCCTTAAATGACAATAATATAGGGAAGTGAGGACTAATACTTGAATATAACTCAACTTGTTAAGACATATATATTTCTAAACATGTTCGAGATGGATTGAAGTGAAATACGTTATTTGGGTGGGTTTGTAGTCTCATTTGATTGAAAGGACAATAATAAAGAAGAGGGCAACTTAAATAAGGTGGTGACTAGCGTTATAGGTCGTTGGCGGCCAGAAGGTTGCCACGAGTAAATCCGTTTGGGAGATCGAAGACAATTCTCCGTGCATCGGACATGTTGCATACCGAATCAATTTCAGCATGAATGGAAATGAAATGCTCTAAAAGATGAGGTCTATTTGTATATATATCGTTAAGTAAGGTTTCAAGGTTTGAATCCACCAGAACCGAAAAATTGGTAGTGAACATGGGTTACATGTTGGAAGAGGGGTGGACCCGAGCAAGGTGGTCCAAGGGTGAAGGTCAATTTTTTTTATTTTTATTTTTATTATTAATTTTTTATTTTTGAGAAAAAGAGGTGAAGGTCAATTAATTATTTTGGGCCCATTTATTCCATTATTGCATCCCCTTCCCCCTTATCAATTTGGAATCCCCCATCTTTAATTTTTAAAAGTTTTTAAATTTAAAAATTTGGAAGAGGAAATGATCAGAAACCTCTTTCTTTTAATTGTCTAATTCCTTTTTTAAGCTATCATGTCAAATAAGTTTATCATCGACAAATTAGCAACGGTGAACAATGATGCAATTGAAAATGTTAAAACATAAGAGACTAGCTAGAACATATATGTAACATTTTTTAAATATAGCTTTTAAAATATTCATATTCCATATGTTGGCTCAAACGTCGAGATGATGCCAACAAATGAATTTAAGTAACGTTACAAAGCTATATCCACATGTTAAGTATCACTCGACTGTGGGTACAAGTGAAACAAATCAAACCCCGAAAAATTTTCGCATAAAATATCATGGATATATGTTTTGGGAATTATTGTTTAGAAACATAGATGGATGAGTTAGCATTGGCAATATAAACAAATAAAAAAAGGGTGGCTCATAATTATTGTTTCATAGCAACGTGATTGTAGGGATTGATGGAGGAAAAGAAAGAATAATAAACAGTTAGAACAGAGATAAATAATTGAGAAGGGAAGGAGAAAACATGTACTTTTTTGGGCCAAGGCTTTTCACAATTCACAATAGATTTGGACAAAGAAACATGGGAGAGAGACAAGAGATTAACACAGTACACTCTTGTTATTATGCCATTCATTTCTTTTCCCAAAATTCTTTATCATTTTTTAAAAAAAGATAAAATGAGGTAATAGAAATCACTTCATAATCTAATTATTTGGCTAAAGTTACAAAAAAGACGACGTTAGGAAAAATACCATATTTTCTAAATTTGTAATGCCAAGAAAAATGTGTGGATATATATCATTATAGCTCAATTGATTAAAACGTATTATCATCTACTAAAAAGTTGGCACTTCGAACCTCTACCCCATATTGTAATGGATTAAATTATCTTACGAAACTCACATGAAATTGAAGTTAGGCCAGCAACATGGGTTTAACCACTTGGACGGGACCATCCAGCCATACCAGACTTGAGCCGATGAACCCGCTCGAGTTGGTCCACCTGAACTGACCTAATGAGACATTCTATAAATAGAAGGAGAGACCCTCAGACACAAAATACGCTTTGAAAATTCTAATTTTTTCTACTCTTAACGAAACTCTTTGTTGATGGCTTAACACCATATTAGTGTGCGAATTTATTATGTGTATAGGTGTTTGTTGAAGTTATTGACGTTGTAGATTATATTGGAACCAAATTCCTGCCTCGGAACACTATGTTGTTAAACTAAAGAAAAAAGGAAAAAGAAAGAAAGAATGTGGGCAATAGTTGCATCTAATAATGTTCACAGTGAAAACAGCCATGATTTTGATTTGGAATTAGTAAAGCAGCCATGTTCGTACGATGAATTAGAGAGTTTTTTTTGTACAGTATTGGGCTGGGCTTGTGGATCCACGAACATGTTATGGGCTTTGAGATACGGCCCAAATCTATGGAGATTCAGAAATTGGGCCGCCAGAGCCCAGTAGAAAACGGGACCAGGCTCCGTAATTGGGCCCGCCGAACTACATGGGCCTGAAGGGAAACCCAACCCCATAGTTAGCAATTCTGCCATATGTGAAAAAGTGAAGTCTTAAGATTGGGGCAATAAAATTTCAATATCACACAAATGAGAGTGAATATAATGAAAAATAAAACAAGAGTTATCATGTTTTATTTCAATGAAGCATCTAAATAAACAATTAATTACATAAAACAATTCTATAAAACTCATATATGTTATTATATTAATATATATTGGTTAGTTTATAAACTTGGTCTTTAAATTATTTAAAAGTGTCTAATAAGTCCCTTAAACTTTTCATGCAACAAATCTCTCAACTATGAAAGTTTCTAATAAGTTCACGAATTTTCAAATTTCTATCTATAAAATCTCCCGTTTATAAGAAATTTTTTAAAGTTGAAAGACTTATTAGACAGAAAATTAAGAATTCAATGATTTATTAGACACGACAATTATATATAAAAGACATATCAGACAATTTTTTTAAAGTTCGATAATCTATTAAATACGATGTCCAAATTTATAATTTAGGTGGTGTGATGATTTGGTGCAGATGCTTCACATCCCATCCCATGCATCCCCATGCATTACGTGATGAATCAAACTAACATAGACAGATGTTGACATCCAATCTCTCTCTCTCTTACTTTGGTTGATAAATATATATATATATATATATATATATATATTACATAATATATTATAGAGATTTTTTTTTTAAATTTCTTTCTAAAGCACCTTTACCCAAGGAAGAAGCAAGTGAAAGCCATAGGGGCCGCTGTGGAATTATATGGTGGCGGTGGAGGAGGACGAGGACGGGGACAAAGAGAAATTGCCTTTTTCTACCGCCGTGCACACAATAGAGTCGTGTGTGAATATGGATATGAAATTTGATGTATAGCATGAAAATGATTATTATACACACTTGATTTATGTGGATGCTAGTTAAAAATATACGATAAAGAATTAAGAACGACTTTTTGGAAAGAAAATAGATTAAAGAATTAGGAGGTATGATGGTCAAGTTAGAATAATACAAAGCGTGAAAATAATTGTAGGGGTAAGGATGCCGAACTTGAGTTGAAATGCATCTAATTAAGTACTATAAATTAAACAAGGCTTATAACTTTGTACTTTATATAACATTGCAATTAAGTACTAAAAATATTTTATATAAATGGGCTAATAACTTTGGACTTTTAACATAATGCTTTCATGTATTTGGGATTTGGGGAGAGAATTTTACGTAATTGTAATATTTTTCACCTGGTTAAATTTATTTCTCTTTGTTAGGAGATGATTTTTCTTCAACTTGGGAATTTTCAATGTAAACTTTTGTGTATCTTTGTTAAATTCTTTTTAACTTAGTTATTTTCTATTTAGCCTTGGGTAGAAATTGATGAAGTTTCTAATTCTTAACATAATTAAGATAAATATATGGTATATAGACCAAAGTGTATGATAGATTGAAATTATTATACATAAATGATGATTGACGATAAGGGTCTCCTTTGTCTCCTTCTCTCTCTTCGATCCTATGAACCGGGCCATTCGAGGCTTATGTAGAGGCAGCTACATGCTTCCCCTCCGCTAGGGTTTTTTTTTCTTTCCTTCTTTCTTTTCCTTTTTCTTCTTTATTAAGAAACAGACAATTAAAGAAAATGTTTCCTCCATTTTCAAAATGTTTGGGCAGTTTGAAGGGAAAACCCTAAAAAGCAATTTTCTTCTCAGCTCTCCACCTTCCCAAATTGGGTGGTCTATAAATAAATAAATAAATAAATAAATAAATAAAATAAAAACAACAACTATGCATGACAAATTAAAAGCTGAAATTTATTTTTTAAAAATATTAAAAGAAGTAGAGGCAACTGGAATTTCAAATTTTAAATTTTTTTATTAAAAAGAAGTTGAAAAAAGATGGATAAATCTTGTTCTTTGGTTCAATTATTCTTTACTTTTTGTGTGTGTATGTGAAATTAATAGAGGGGTAGGAACCAAGGCATCTGCCTACCACAATTTTAAAGTTCCATTTTGTAATGGGTCTAAAAGACAGCTACACGACAAATCAACCCCACATTTTATTTATAATAATTTATATTTCTCAATTCTTAAAGTTGATAAAAGAACAACCTTTTTCATTTTCCAATTCCCCTCAAGAACAATAAAAGAAATTCAATAAGTTTTAATTTCTTCAAGAACTTTATAATAATAATGTATCCCTTCCCAGCTTCCCTTTTACTTGTATCAGCCGTTCAAGTAATTCAATCATTATACTTGTTAAGACCACGTGATCTATGATTTTCTCTTTTTAATTTGAATGAATAGCGATTAATTAATCAAGTTTTAACCTTTTTATGGTCTGTGGGTATTTGTTCTTTGTTAATGATTGTAGATTCCATGTGTTTATAAGTTAAGTTTGAAAACGTTTTAATTTGATTTTGAGTGTTTCAGTTAATTGAATTTGTGTAATTTATTGGTGGACACTTGGGAATTTTTCTAATTAAATTTTTATAATAATCTATCAAAGGAATATAATTTTGTTTGGTTATAAAAGTTGTTTTTTGTTATTTTTAAAGGAATTAAGCTTTCATATCCTTTGTTAGACTAAATAATTTATTGTTTAAAAAGTGAAGAGGAACTTTTTCTAATGATCTTATCCATTACTTAGAAATAAAATATATCTTAATTCTATTCCCACATTATATAACAATCTTAGCTTCATCTTGGTCAGACATCTTGATTTTTCCTTTGTTTATAAGGGTAAAAAGAGGCTAAATTGGTGCTATTTCTAACGTTTAAACTCATAAACCGTGTTTTAAGCTTGGTTTAGTGTCCAAAACATTTTATTTGAAGTTATCTTAAGTTATACATGCGTATATGACGTTTTTACATCATTTAGAGTTGATTTCTAACGAAAGTTACAATTTTGTGCAGAAAAATATTGAGCTAGGTGCCTAGCGCCTTCCCCAATCCCGAGAATGCCCTTAATGTTAAACTCACTTTTTGGTGTGATTTGAAGCTTCTCCAAGCTCTTCCACGTGTCTTCCATGCATTGCCAATTCAACAACAAACCAACTAAAAGGTATTTGAAATGGATGGCTATCCACAAAACTCTCAACCTCCTAACCACCTTGAAGTCCCTGTAAATTTAGCAGCTCATTCACCTCAATCATCATCCAAAGTGATCATTTTCAGCTTTAGACACTTTACTCTCAGCTTACTTACGTTTTCCTTTTAAGTTTTGAATTGTTATTGTTTTAAACCTTGCTTATTTCAAGTTCACCCTTTATTTCCAGCTTGCTATTCTTAAATTGTAAGTTTGATTTTATTTAATTTAAATTCCAGCAAGTTCTTGATATTCATTTATTTCTCTATCTCTTATTACGAAGTTGTAATCACTCAACTTCGAGGAATCAACCGAGTATTGCTCCCCAATCTTGAAAGAGAATGGGTTAGAGTCATTCGGGTTATAACTCCACCATTTCCAGCTTGTTAATCTTTTAATCATGTCGTCTACTTCCATCAATATTAAATTCTGTTTTTCCTTTATTGTCATGAGCTAAATTTATTTTTCCCAAGCCCGGTTATGGATAGTTAGCTAAAGTTTATTAGAATCCAACAAGGTAAAAGACGTTTTTCTCCTATACATTCTCACAACTTTAATGATTTAATTTTGGAGAGAAATACTTTAGATATAAAGATTTCGCTCGGGTAGCCTAGACATAGGACCTCGACTTAAAGTTACGGTTGRTTTTTATTAAATTAAGTTCAATTTTCTAATAGACATATTAGAAATGGACTTATACCTTCAAAATCACTTAGATATAATAAGAAGATGACGAAGTAAAACCGAAGGAGTTTATTGCATTGAGTCTTTAAATATCAAAACCAACATTATCCTTATTATTTGTTACGTACCCAAAATCAATTACAAAGTCACTGATCATTAACATTTCTTATAACAAGACTTCATTTGTCCTTGGTGATCGATACTCAGATACTCGTTCCGTTTTACTACTTGTGACGGGTGTACACTTGCACTCTATCATTTATTTTCATTCCAAAATCCCAAACACATCTAAATCCTCAATTTTTTTTTATAATTACAATATATCTTTTTCATTTCGCTTAATTGGAGTGTTTTCATTTAGCCTCTCTTTTGTATGTTTCTCATCTATCCATCTAATGAAATGGTCCCGATATCTTAAAAAAAGAAAAAAAAACCGAGAATATGGAATAAACATGGTAATTTGAAATAAGGAAGCTGTTTCAAGCAATCCTTGACAAATAATGGTTTGTGATCTCATCCCTGTAAATTATTAAGTTCCTACTCAAAAGGGCAAAACTTCTCTTACCATTGACATATCTATCAAACACCCCACTAATTTGATTGCCATAATTCTTCCTATTTATATACTTTTTTCCCCTCATTTTGAATGTAACAATAGTATATTCATATCATTGATGCGTAAGTTATCTCGTAATTCGATGTGGACATCTAATCTGTTGAGTTGATGATCCAATATAACTTTGCACCAATGCAGTGCCAACGTACACTCCAAAATTTAAGTTAATTAATACTTTAGTCTAAGCTGGTGTTAAGCCAAGCGTAGTAAAAACTACATAGAATTGCATACCATTGTAAGGTATATTGGATCGACATTAATTTTATAAGGGAGAATTAGCTAGGAAGAATCACACCACCATTTTCATCGCTTTGTACTTTTGACAGTGAGTGAATTTTATGTTGGTTGCATCCACACTTCTAACTTTGGTGCAGAATTGGGCTTTCGCTAGGTCAATCAGATAGGGAGAGTTTGCCTAACCCTTCGTGTCTTTGACCTAGAGCTAATGAAAATACGACGTGACACATCATTCTTCCTACTCGATAACACATTTAACTCTTAACATTAATTACACCACGATGACCAACTCAGTTAATTATTAGAGACTCTATTATACCCAAATTGGTATCTTTTGGTTTAACATCAAAACCAACCTCCAAATTGTGAATAATAATCTTTCATCATGATTTGAAGTGATCCCACCATGAAAACCATAATAGAGAAACTAATTAKCATGTCAAAAATTAATCTCTCTCTCTCTCTTCCTTTGCATGAGGACAGCCACTTCTCTTTTTCGAGCACTTAATCACACACACCCCAAAAGAAAAAAGAGAAAAAAAAAAAGTTGAAGAGAGGCAACACCCAAGAAACTTCCTCCACTTAAAAACCCTAAATTTTCACAATAAAAACAAAAAGATATATCAAGAGAGAATATGGTGAGAGATTACAGCTCTCTTTTCCTTTTTCTCTTTTTTTTTTCTCTGCTTATATCTCTCTTTCTTTCCTCTCTTCAAATCTCACGATTCTCCTCCACTCCATTTCCTAAAGATCCATCCTTCAAACCTTTATGTAAAGAAGAAGAACAAAAACAGAAAAAGATCAGAAATTTAATTGAATCCCATGGCTCACTCTTCTCTTCCAATCTTTTTAGATCCCCCAAATTGGCAGCAGGTAAGATTTTTATGTTCTCTCAATTCGATTTCATTTGCAAAAAAGAAAAAGATGTTAGCATTTTCTTCTCCTAATTCTCTTCTTGAATATACCCTTTAATTTTCTGTGTAATTCAATTAATGGGTTGTTTTTTTCTTTTTGGGTGAAGCAATCGAATCAGGCACCGGAAGCAAATGATCATGAAGACCCACGTCAGATTCCGGCGTTTCTGCCAGCGCCGGCGGTTCATGGCGCCGGCGCGGGGTCTATCCGGCCGGGTTCTATGGCGTACAGAGCGCGGCTGGCGATGATTCCGCAGCCGGAGGCGGCGCTGAAATGCCCGCGCTGTGATTCCACAAACACCAAATTTTGCTACTTCAATAACTACAGCCTTTCTCAGCCGCGGCACTTCTGTAAAACCTGCCGCCGGTACTGGACCCGCGGCGGCGCTCTGAGAAACGTCCCCGTCGGAGGAGGCTTCCGGAAGAACAAGAAGAAGAAGAAAAGTAGTAACCGATCCAAGTCCCCCACTGCCACTCAAGCTCAAATGGGTAACCCTTTAAATATATATTTGGATCAATTTTTTTACTGATTCCAAAAATGCCGATTTTTTTTTCTTTCTATAATCCGGTATCGGTACTGTCTGGTTTTACAAACTACAATCGATATTGTGGGACTCGTCTTCAAATTGGACCTTTTAAGGAGGGAATATCCTCATTTAACCACAAACCTACTACACCACCAACGTGGTTAAAAAAAATGCCAATCCACCCCCTAAAATTTTTTTCTCAAAAGTTTAAGGTTTACTTTCATTTTGAATTGTTCAAAATTATCCTTAGTTTTTGCAATTGTCACTTTGAAATATGAATTTTCAAGAAATTTATTACAACAAATCACTTCTCTACATTTCCACTTCATTATTCTTTATTTCATACCAAAAAAAGTAGGATACTACCAGAAATGTTGTCCTTCACTTCTATTATTGAAATATTAACCATTATAGATGGATCATTAGTCTAAAAGAGTCAGGATAAATGAGAAGAAATGAGTTCAAACTCCATAATAACAACCTAGCTTAAAAATCAATATCGCTTAAGATTAGTTGAAATGCACATAAATTGGTCTAGACACTCAGGGATGAAAAAAAAACTTCCAAATATTATTTGCATTTCCAAACAAAATGTTTAATCTTTTATTTATATTGTTGAAGGGTTATAAATGATGTTTTTTAATAATCTATTTTTGAAGGTAATTCGAGAGGAAGTGGTGGCGCAATAATCTCAAACATAGAGAACCCCACAATGGGCCATTTCCCTCGATTCGGAGGGGGAAACTCAGGCCTCAACTTCACCGGAATTCATCTCAATTCCGGCCGCCAAGATCATCATCAATTGGATCATCATCAATGGCGTCCACAGCAACATCCGCCGTTCATCGTCGCCGGACTCGAACCTCCGCCGCCACCCGGATACCCATTAAACATTATTCAAACCCAAGTTAACAACTTTGGCGCCGGCCCTAACTCATCACCATCATCAGCATCAGCAGCAGCTCTACAATACTGTCACCAACAACTTCAGAATCTGACACCCTTTCCGAGGATTCCCATGAAAAACGAGGAACAAATCCAAAGCCAAAGCCAAAACCAAGAACAAGGAATAATAATGTCTAATTTCTTACGACCAGATCATGATCACCAGAACAACCACCAATTGATGTGGCCGTGTGATCATCAAAATTCCTGGACAGATCATCATTTGTCGGCTCTCAGCTCTTCTTCCAGCACCCATCTCTTGTAAGATTAATTAATTCCCAACGTAACATTCAAAAAAAAAAAAGAAAGAAAAAGAAATATGGTGGGAGAGAGTCAATATTATATCATGTCATGTGTTGTATATATTGGCTTTCTTGTCATGTTTTTCCCTTTTTTAAGGGGAAAAAAACCTTATTTTTATTTTTTCCTTTTTTTACTCATCTCGAATTATTATTTGTTTCAGCTGTCACATATTTTTATATAATATGTAACTTTACTACATGTTAATTAATTACATGGGTTGTTTGCCAAAAAGGAAAAAAGAAAATCTTCATGGGGTTGTTCTATATATGATCTGGCCTGCCCTAGCCATGGAATTATGTTTCAGTGGGTTTGAACATTAATCTCTTATGCATATAAAATATTAATGTGTTGTAATGTTTCCCCTTTAATTAATTTGATCAATATACCTCATTTTTATATTGTAATCCCAATCACTTTTGTAAAAGTATACAATCAAGGAAATTAGCAGGTATCATGCATAACATCTGGATTTATTTTTTTTTTGATTAATCAAATCAAGCAATCAATATTAGGTTGGGTAAATTTGTAGTTATGTCCACAAAATCTTTTCTCTTTTGTAGTTACGATATTTCTACCATCTCTTAATTGGAGTGTTTTTATTTAGCTTCTTCCTCTTGTAGCATTCTCATATACTTTTTAATATAATATATAGTGCGTCGTCGTTTTTTTTTCAAATGTTAGGTAAATTTGATCTTTTATTCATACCTATCAACATTACTTTATTTTGTACTAATGAGCTTGACAATTAATACTATAAATCTAGAGATGAGTGAATATATCAATGGGAGAGTGTACTCGTACAAGAGGTCATCTAATCTGATAACATTAAAAAATTATTGGTCTCGTTACCAACCATTTAGTTTTTGGAAAATACTTGGCTCCGAGAACTATATCTTGTCCTCACCAATAACTAATTATAAAAAAAAAAAGTCTTTACCTTTACATTTCTCCCTCTTAGTCGTCAAATATTTAACAGTAGTTAGGACAAGATTGCTTCTTACCTTAAAAAAGTCAAAAGTATTTTTCTTTTAATAGTAGATTTTCTCCCCCTCTCTCTTAAAAATGGGAGGAATATCCTTTGGAGCAATGCTTTAGGAGCAATTCTTTGGCATATTTGGTTGGAGCGAAGCAACATGATCTTTTCAGATAGGAGAAAATCTATATCCAACTTATGGGACGATATTAAAATATCTACATCTCATTGGTCTACAAAATCCTCTCTCTTTTGTAATTACGATGGAAACACTATATCTTTGAATTAGAGCACTTTTATCAAATGCCTCATTTTTTGTGTGTATGTTCCTCACATGCATCAATGAAATGGAATTAGTTCTTCTTAAAAAAAAAAAGTATTTTTCTTAGTTTTTTGGCTTTGTACTCATAAAATTAACTTAAGCATGCTGCTTTTAATCTGAGAAATATTTTCAAGATCTAAGCCAAATTCAGATGTAAAAAACATATGAAAAAATAGATGGATTGCCTAATTTAATCATTCAACCTAGAAAGTGAATTTAGAAAGTTATTACTATTATCATTATTATTATTATTTGTTTTTACTGTCTCTCTGCTTAATTGTTTCCATTTTTTTTTTTTTGGTAATATTATTGTGTCTGAAAAAGGTGGTCGCCCCTCTCCCCCGGTT